CCCTGTATATCATTGAATTTGGAGCAAATTTTGTATAAACAGCATACAGTTAGCTCGTTTTTTTAAATTCAATCTTTTCTAATCTCTGCTGATTGATATACTTAAGTCCTACTAATAAATTACTGCTATATTAGTGGTAAACTTGTTTTTTAATTTTATTTGGTTCTTTTTGCTCCATTTTAAGGGAATTCTAGTGTATTACTTAAATATTTTAAAAATTCTCTTTAATTTTTAAATAGCGTTGTTCAGTGTATCTCTGTGTATTGTTATAATGGTTGTGCTAGATATTACCTTATATTTACTTGACTTACTGCAGTCTACTAGTATCAAAATTTAACCATTTTGAATGAAATGTGGAAAAAACACTTCTATTTAGACCTTTGCCTTCTCTATTTAAAGAGCCTTTGCCTTGACTGTCAATATAATATTTAATAAAATGCATTATTATGCATTTTAGGAGAAAATAAGCAGTCCTCTTTTTAGTTTTTCCATTGTTTATCTTTTCTTGAAGCCAGCATTTGCTCTTTTATTATTTACTATTAGAAGAAATTCCTTAAATCAATCTTTCATATTTCTTTTGTCTGGGAGAGTAGCTTTTTTTTTTTTTTTAAGAGACTAGAACCAAACAAAATAAAACAGAATAGAGTCGATCAAAACTAAATGAATGTGGTACAGGACTTCAAAACAAGATAAAAGGAAATCAACAATGGCTACCATAATGCCTCTTGTTATCTCCAAAATAACTGCCCATACCATCAGGCATAATAAAATCAAGCAAAACAGAACAAGGTAAAACAATGAAAGCAATATAGGACTTCAAAACAAGATAATAGGAAAAAAAAATAAAAAACAAAAGTGGCTACCATAATGCTCCTTGTTATCTTCAAAATAGCTGCCTATACCATCAGCCATAATAAAACCAAACAAAACAAAACAATGAAAGCAATACAGGGCTTCAAAACAAGATAATAGGAAATCAATAGTGGCTACCATAATGTATTTTGTTATCTTTGAAATAGCTGGCCATACCATCAAATATAATAAAATCAAACAAAACAGAATAAAACCAAACTAAACAGAACAATAAAAACAATACAGGGTTTCAGAACATGAAAATAGATTAACAATGGCCACTGCCTTCCCTTTTTAGACATTTGCTTCCCCTTTCACTTTCACATTATCTATTGTATATTTTGGATCCCACTAACTCCTTTAGTTTTTTATTCTAGGGAGACAGCACGATGTTCACCTAGGTGACTGTGAACCATTTCACCCATGAGCACGATCTCAGGTTGTATCCATTCACCTTAAAGAGCATCCAGGTTACCTTTCTTTATAGCTGAGTAGCTTGCCATTGTATAAAAATGTCATATCGTTCTTATCCATTCTTCCGTGGATGAGTGAGCTACCCCTACTTTCTTCTGGTTCTCTGTCACGTAGAGTATTATTCTCCCATTTTTGACTTTCACAATAAATTTTCTTTCTAGTTAAATGTGTTTCTTGTATAAAGATTATTGATGGGCCCTGTCTCCTGACTCACTCTGGTGTTTCTTTTTATTGCTGAATTGAGGCCATCTACATTAATGGTTATGACCAGTATGCACTGGTTCATCTCTGCCATGCTGTTTTCCTGTCATTGGCTGCCTACTTTTCCCCTCCATTCAACTGCCTGCTTGGTGATCTCCCTCTGCTGCTGTTCCTGAAACCATGGTCCTTTTTTGTCTCTTTCTAGAATATCCTTTAGAAGTCTTTGTAGGGTTGATTTGGTGATCATGGATTCCTTCAGTTCTTTCTCATGGAAGTATCTTGTTTCTCCATGAATTTTTAAAGATAGTTTTGCAGGATACATCAAATCTGGATTGGAAGTCGTTTTCTTTTAGGATTTGAAACACTTTGCTCCAGCCTCTTCTTGACTTGATGGTTTGTATTGAAAAGTCTGTCATGATTCTAATGGTAAATTTATAGGTAATCTGTTTCTTTCCTCTAACAGCTTTTAATATTCTGCTCCTGTGCTGAATGTCTGAGATCTTGATTATTATATGTCTGGGTGTAGCCATAACCAAAATATGGTTAGCTGGAAATCCTGTAAGCCTGACTTATCTGTATGTCAGGTTCTGTTCCCATGCTTGGGAATTTTTCTATTGTAAACAGACTTTTTATGTTGCTTGTGTTGACTTCTGCTTTTTCACTGACACCTGTTACTCATAAGTTATTTTTCTTTGTGTTGTCTTGAAGCCATTGAATTGTTTTTTCTGGTTCCTTGTTATTTTTAAGAGATCTTTCCTTTCATGATTACAAGCTGCAAACCTGTCTTTAAGGTCTGAAAGTCTATCTTCACTTTCTTTTAAGTGATTTTCCCAGCTTTCAATGAAGTTTTTAATTTCCTGGATATCTCTTTAAATATGTTTCATGTATTTTAAATCTTTTATATTGTTCATTCAAGGTTTCATTTTCCCATGCTCTTCTATTTTTTAGCCATGTTTTCTTTAAAGGTGTTTAACAATTCTTTTATTTTTTATTTCTTCTTTTACTTGAGATAGTATTTCTGTTCTAATTTCTTTTATAACCTGATGAAGTTGTTTCTTTACTTCAGTTGCCATCACTTCAGAAACTTCAGGTGTTCGACTCCTGATCTCTTTCTGTGTTTATGTCTCCTGGACTTGCTCTGCTTGGGTAGAAGCTAAAGACTGCCTTTTGCTTCTCCATCTTGACATATTGCTAGGTTCTTCTGGACAAGTGCATAGTGGAGTCCCAGACACTTCTTGTGTTGGCAACAATTTCTCTAAAGCAGGACTATTTGGTTCTCCTGGCCAGTGCTGGTTATTGGTATGCAATGGTGGCTACTGGGTATGCTAGTGTGGGACTGGTGGCTGGTTTTCACAGCCCGTGTTGGATACAGCTGGTGGAAGCATCCCAGATAGTGACTGGTGTGATGTGGGGGATGGGGCTGGCTGCTGCCTCCCAGGTTTCCTGGCGGGAAGGCTCCCCAATGACATCTGGAGTGCACAAGGGTGAGTGTAGCAGTTTTCTGAAAGCTACTTTTGTTGGATATACACACAAACACCACTGAAGGAGTCAGAGTCTATAATGGCTTTTCTATCTGCTTGTGGGGGACATAGAATGCTTCCTGCAATAGGCCATAATCATTTTTCTGCTTAGAAGTTTTATTTTTAATTACTGAAGGAGGTCCTGCTTTGGATTCCACCAATTATAGATTTCAACCTCTACAAATTGTGTGCTAAAATAAATCTTGCTTCCTTTAACATGTGGGTATTTGGTATTTTGTCTTACCAATGAGGAAATAAATAAGACAAGACATTAGATTTTCTTTCTTTCTAGCTCAGGCTGGCCTTAACCTCATTCTGTAGCCCAGGCTGACCTCTAACTTGCAGCTATCCTCCAGCTTCAGCCTCCCAAGTGTTGGAATGCCATAGACCTTTAATCGGTGAACCTTTTAGAGCTTTCAGTGATGACAACAGCTGGCTGCAGCACAGGCACTATGAATTTGCCACCACTGCCATAGACTCTGGGTGATGAAGAAGCATTTAATGGGATTTAGCACTGTTAGCACTGTATTTTTTCTGATATACATTCTATAACCTTTGATATGTATTTGGAACCAATTATGGTGACCACGTCATAAGTACCACTTACCAAAAATTACAATAAGATGCCTCTTGATATCTAAAATGATAAAATATGAAAAAGTGGCCAAAGGAATCCACTATCTGGCTCCTCCTCCTACACTGAGGGCCTGGCAAACAGCCCAGGAAGAATCCAAGACTCAGAAACTAGACCATTGGAGGAATTCAGATGACTGGCCCCTCCCCCTACACCACTAGGACCAGGCCCCTGTGGGAACACTAGCCACTCAGTAGGACCCAGACTATGGAACACAAAATGGATAGGCAAGACTAGTGAGATGAAAAGTCTGAAATATGAGCCCACAGGTGGTAAGTTAGGTGCACTGGCATTGTGCACATGGAATAGAAGCAGGGAGGTGGGACCATACTCCCTTCAAAATTTTTTTAAATTTAATGTAATTTTATCTTATTTTTGTTTTCAGCTTTCTTTTCCATTTTTATTTTCTTTCTTGTCGTTTTTTTTTTTTCTTTTGTGAACACACTGTCTTCCCTAAATTCCCCCAACACAGGATAAAGCTACTCTACCATGGTGAAACATTTTGCATACGCATTCCTAGTTTATGATCAGTTCTGTTATATAAACATGGACTTCGCTCTTATAGTCTAAAGTACAAAATCAATTGTTACCATAGTTTGTCAGTTTCTGTTTGATGCTATGGCTTGTGCTAGATGCTATTGCTATTGGTAATTGTACTGCTTTAGCTAGATGTCATATCTGTTGTAATAGTTGTTCTGTAACATAACTGGGAAGCTCTCGGGGTAATAACTCACCACGGCCCAACATCAAAGGACTAGTGACTGAGCTAAACAGGTACAATATTCCACTCTTAATTAATTGGGAAGGTAGGCTCTTGGAACAGACACAAACCAAGAACTTTCTATACAAAGAAGACATACCTGAAGAACAGATATTTCTTAGACAGGCCTTGATAGTAGTGGTACAGTTACCTACTACAAAAACAAGACAGACAGAGAGTTTTAAACTTCAGAATCCTATTGAAAATTAGGTGGCCTTTGGAAGCTGGAAAAAATATGAAAACAGATTGTCTTTGAGATCCTCAAGAAGGCACTAATACTCTGATTTTGGAACTGATGACTACCACAACTATAAGGTAATAAATTATATTCTTTACACTACCAAGTCTGTGGCAATTTGTTATAGCAGCAGTAGGAATAACACTGGGAGTGTGTGGGTGAGTGCACCTACCTGTGTATAAATGGTCGAGAGATTGTGTTCTTACGTGTGTCAAAATGACCATAAAGCCTATACCAATAGAACAAAGCAATAATGAGATTTTAAATTCTATTTCAAGTGCAAATAACTCAGTCTTCCTTAATAATAAAATCACATAGTGGTCATTTGAAAAGTTCATTTATTATATACCAATATACACTTTCTGTAATAAAAAATCCTACCAATACACTGAACCATCTTATAAACGAATAAGAAAATAAAATTTTCATCTGTTTACAAATGCGGTTAAATTAACCAGCACAGAATACCACATGTATGTCTGCCCTGCAGTATATATGACCTCTAATCCAGAAAGGATACATGAGGGGAGCTGGTGCTTTAGTATTTGGCACTGTAGTATTGCTCTTGAATATTTATATAAGTACATATGGTGATATTTTCAAGTTAATCATTTAAAATGTAAAACATTCAAAATATATACAGATTTTATAGTTTTCTAATATTTTTGGATTAATCTTTAATATGTACATTTAAATACCTTCAGATTGAACATTTTTTTAACATGCAGAAGAAACTTTTTTCTATTTTCTAATTTGAAAACAGTCTTTAGACAAATGAAAATGGGAATATATCTTAAATATGCCATTCAGCAGTTTTTCCAAATGATAGTAAATTAAAAGTTATGATAGTTTCTAGTAATGCTCAATTTCCATAACAAAGTGCACCATTTTATAGTTATGCATCTTTAAAAAATGATACACAAAACAAATACATATTTTCTTAGTTGCACTTCTGAAAAATTATTGAAATATGGTTTAGCCTGTTGCAATATATGATAATTGTATTTCATACCTAGATTTACCAAAATATAAAATATACAACAGAGGTTCTTGTTAGTGATTGTACAACAAAGTAGTGAACTCCAGAAATTTTAGGCAGTGATAGTAACTTTTAATTCTATTTCATGTAAGTATGATATGGAAGTAAGAATGATGGTTTGCATTTCTCTACAGTGTTAGCACTTATATTTCTATGGACAGCTATTCAGCATTGTATTAAATGACAAGTGTTAGCAACCAACTGTGCAAGCTAAAATGAATTAAATCTTATCTTAGACATACTAAATCAAAAGAGCAACCTTAGCTCTGTTAATTATTTGCAAATAGAGAACTCATTTTCTTACACATGATTCTATTATTGTAAACATTGAGGAAGAGCATTACTGAACTATATAACTTAGGTTAGAAATTTAAAATAACCCCGATGGACAGATACATACAAATGGATTTTGAGCCCACCAGTTTAATTCCCTGACCACACTTCCAATAATATAAATGTTTTGTCTGTGAGAAAGAAAGCTACACATGTAAAAAATAAAAATCAAATGTACATTCTGATGACTACAGAGTAAGATTATATACATAAACGTATAGCAAATCACAGTTTCCTGCACTGAATGTTTATCAAATAAACATGTATCAAACAATACTGGGTAGTGTCTCCACACGAACTGTGGTCTTCTAAAAATTCTGAATGAGAATGGAAGACGAGAGGGAGAGCGTTGTTCAAGGACAAAAGAATGACAGTGGACTAGGAACGGCATTAAAAAGCAGAAGCTTCCACAGAGGTGGCCTAGCTATAAGCGATACTATTTTTGTTATTGCTCTAAAAATAAAGACCCTCTCTATATTGAGTAAGATGTTTTAACATTTACCAAAAAACCCACTGAGTGAAGCAGCTACTAATTCAATGTCACAAATGGCCTAGGCAAAATATTCCCTTGGTATTGACATAAGTGCTCTCGAGTGGTGTCAGATCATCTGTGTACCTCCCAGGGACAGGTCACAGGATATGCTTTTGGCCTCCATTAGCAACAGAACCAAGGTGTGTAGTGAAAGACAGGAGATGGCCTTAAGTGGTGATACGTTTGCCACCAGGGTGTCTTCATTTGATATTCTGAGAAAACAACTATTTGTGGTTACTTTATGGGGATGCAGGATGGGAGCAGGAAGGAGGAAAGAATATTATCTGATGACTATTACATGCAGGCACTCTTATTCTGCTTATACAACAGCAAAAACACACTTTGATCATCTCACACCATTCTAGTAAAATCTGGGCAAAAATGTGCAACACAGATTTAAAACATATCAATATCCATTCTTGACGAAAGTCATTATTTTCTCTCGCAGGTGTCTGATGATGTTATTAGCAAACATCTTTGGAATCTTCTGTTGCTATTTTCTGTGAATAATATTCCAATCAAGATACCTCAAATGTCTTTTGGAACATTAGTTGCAACCATTTCCAATAGAAAAAGAAAGTATTTTCTCTTAGGTTAGTGATGCTTGGAATTTGGAGGATTGTAAATCCAGTCAGTTATAATCAGTGCCATACTTCCAATCATGAAGATAATTCCAGTCACAAGGAAAATTATAGCCTGTAATTCAGAGAGAACTTGTAAGGGAAGACGGGAAACATACTTGTCACAGTTTGCTTTTGTAAGATGTTTATGTAAGATGACCCTCCTGTTTGCATATTATATTAAAATACTATTCATAACTCAAATTACTAACAAATCAACCAATTCAAAACCTACTTGGGAGAAAGGAAATACAAAGACAGAATGTAGAGTTCCAATGACAGAGTAAGGATTAGCTGATTTGATATATCAAAATAATGCTGTCTCTTGTGATCATTAAATATTAAGTGACAGAAAAATATTTAATGATCTATGGAATCTTAATAGTTTTTTAGGTGAAAAAGAGCAGGTCATAAAAGATTAGTATATATAATATGAGCCCAATTTTATAAAGCAAACAAAAACAGAAGCCTTATATATATTGCATATTTCTGAAAAAGATAAAAAGTTTGTGTGTGTATGTGTGTGTGTGTGTGTGTGTATTCTGCAAAAATGTATATATCAGGAAAAGAAAAAACTTGCATAAATATTTTAATACTAAATTTATTGAGACATCATGAGATTTACACAAATTACTTATGGCCTCTACAATTATAAGAGGTATTCAAAATGGTAGCCATTAGCTTCCAGATATTTATTAGTGTGTATACATTTTTATGTGGACCCTGTATAGTATGTATCTTTGTATGTATGAATACTTAAAACATAAAGTATTTCAAACTTTTCACACTACAGGAGGGATTAAATAGTTCAAGCAGATCAATCTTCTAATTCTGTATATAAGAAAGCAATAGCTAAAATTTTTCACTTAGCAAGGATCTAAGACAGTGACGGTGAACCTTGTAAGAAAGACAAGTGCCCACGCTGTCACCTAAACCCCACTTATTTATCATCAACTGCCAACATTTCTGAACACTAAGGATTTAGTTTAGAAAAAAACAACTCATACGTTAATGTATTTTGTTTTAAAAGAAAAAAAAACAACATGTGTGCCATAGATATGCCACCACTGGTAGAGGAGATGATTTTGCTTATTTTATACCTGATCAAATTAAAAATGAGACACAAACAGTTTAAGTAACTGGCCAAGTAACACTGCTATGAAAGTCAAGGTAAGACAGACTACAAGAAGTGAAATTTTAGAGGCAAGATGAAGGGAAGAGCTTTTGATACTAAAGTTTCTTGAAGTTCGTAATCAATCTCAAGAGATGAAAAAGGCAAAAATTCAGAGCAATTCAGTAAGAAGCCATTCTTTTCGAGCTTTAATATAAGCTTTTATATATGCACATCTATGTTTATAACAGCACAGTTTGTAATAGCCAAACCTTGCAAACAATCCAGGTGCCCATCAACTGGTGAATGGATAAAGAAGATGTGGAGTTTTTATACAATGGAGCACTACTCAGCCACAAAGAAGGATATACTCAAGACATTTCTAGGAAAATGGGACTTTGAGTTCATACTCATGTGACATAAATCGGACAGACAACTGTAAGTACTGCAGTGCTTCTCTGTGAGAAACCTAAAGGGACCAAAATGTGTAATAGATATGGTGAAACAGGAGGAAAATGTTCAGTGGGGAGGTGAACAGGGAGAGGGGTGGGGGACAGGAAAGAAGAGAAAAGTGAGAAAAATAAGAAAAGAAGGAAAACGTAGAAACAAAGCTTTGTGGATGGGGAGGAAAGGAGAGGTTGGAGGGAAGGTAGGGAAATGGAGAAAAAATCAAGTTATATCATGTATGGGTACAAGTTCTCTATAGTGAATGTATATATATATACCCATACAATCTAATTTTTAAAAAGTTAATATAAGATCTTAAATTGTCACTGATCATAGTTAGTTATTGAAACAATGCATCTATAAAAATGTTCCAATAGTCCCACTATGGAAAAGAATTATGCACTTTCTAGTTTAATAAGATGATATTTTATGTCTAAAGAGGTTGACTGGAGACCAAATGTTCCTTTAAAAAAAAAAAAATCTTAATGTAAACCAGAAGACAGCAAGCTACAAAGAGGAAAAATGCAAGCGCCCTGACTTTGCAGCAAACATGACCAAAACATTGCTTTAGCCCCGAACTTTGGTTAGGAGCCTAATTCTTTCCTCTCTGACATGTAGGAGGACTGAACACAAGATAACTGCTGTCAGAAGAGAAGGACTCCTAGAATTATCTGAGTGCCAGAAACCTACTCCTTTCCCCCCGCAGGAGAGTCCCAGCCCACGCTTGTGGTGTCTGACTCTTCATGGCTTCTCTTTTCTAAACCATGTGTATTTCTGACTTAGGCTTACTTGAAGAGCAAGTTGGAATGGAAGAAATCGCAAGCCTTACTTACCCCGACCTTTTGGGGTGATCTAAAAGGTTCTTTCTTGACAAGTTTAAGGTAAAAAACTGCTGGAAGGATGAAAATCAGCATCGTGGCAGAAGAAGCCCCTGAGGAGAGAAACAGGCACATGAATTCCCTGAGTGGCGTCTCCTCTGAAAAGCAGATGCCCAAGAGCTCACACTTAGAGAAAGCGGATAAAAAGATACCCCAGGCTTCCTAACCCTGAAAGCACATAGGGAAACATCAGCTTGTCTGGGTTGCTTATTCACACAAGGTATGTTTATAAAAAAATGTTCTTAACATTATAACTGCCTAAAGATAATGTATAGTAAGCAATAAAAGACTGAAACATAATGCAAATTTACAGATGATTAGTACATCCTAAGGAAGTACATCCTAAGGAAGCTGAACTCATCACATACTCTTCTTTTTTATGTCTTATGTTTCAAGTTATCTACACACAATTCTTTACAAAGTGTTGTTTTTAAAATTTTAATAAATCTTCAATCAGTAGAATGGGAAATTAAATATATTAATAGGCCAAGTAATTAAGGGAAATGATACACTTTAAAAATTAACCTATTCTGAAAATATCTTTTAATGTTGAGCCAGTACTCGAGAGCCTTGTCTGGTATGTAAAATGTGTCTCCCGGACTCCCCGATGGCCAGTTTAGGAGCCGTGTCCCATCCCCTCTTTGTCTCCTGCCAAGGTATATGTCTTGACTTTTTTGAGGCTTACTGTTGTCATCTGTCAGAAAAGGCAACTGGACTAAATGACTTGTAAGTCAGTTTCCAGTGCCACCGGGGAAGAAGAAAAAATGACCAGCACAGCTCCTAGAACCCAGCAGAGATAACACGAATCCCACAAGCCTATAGTGGACTTGGGACCCCGAGTGCCCAACACCGACTTCCTGACCATCATTTAAGGAGGAGTAAGTTTGGGTTGACTAAATAAAAACCTTTCTGAAACTTACCAATAAACCCAAAGATGTATTTTATAGTTGGCACAAGGATGACCAGAACATTATTAAGCACAATAATTATGACTGCAATCACGAAGTGTCTAATCCAGCTGAAGGGTCTTTTGGGGAATAACAGGGTGGTCACTGATGTGCGAATCTATGACAAGAACATTCAGTGATAAGATCAATCATTGTTTTTGACTTTTTCTATTATTTTATATTTTCTTATTTTTCTAAAGTATTTTTTCTTTTTTTCCTAGAAAAGATTATGAATTTTTCCTAATATTTTTCATTGTGTCAAAATACACATACTGTAGAATTTATCACATTAACCATTTTTAAAGTATGTAGTTCAAGGTATTAAGTATATTTATATTGTGTAACCTTCATGCTGAATTTTGATGTCTGAGGATGTTGGTGTTCCTTTTTTGGTGTTTGTTCATTTTCTCATATTTTAGAATTTTGGATTAAGAATAATCTCAAATAGACATAAAATAACAGATAAGATATACAACTCAGACAGTAAAAATCCTTGATGTTGGTGGCTAAGTTGTTTCATCAGATTGGTTTAAACATTAAAGGTGAGCACAGAACAGTTTTTGTCTAGACTGTCAAAGGAATTTCTACAAACCCGATGTTCCTTTAGTTTGCATTATATTTAACATTGTCCACCTGATATAGTTTTTAAAATGATACTTTTCCTGTTTACTCCTTACTCTTTCTCTCCCTTTACTTCGTCATCACATTTTAAATCAGTAAAAGGCAAGGAAAAATATTTAATATTTCTCAGAATGTCTAGTTTAGTGTCACATGCAGCAGGCAATTAGTAAGTGTTAAATTACGTTGGCGGTAAGAATTTTTTCCCCCTCATCAGAATCCTTGACAGATTTTGGCCTTATTTCAGCAGCTGAAGTAAGTAGGCAAAGGGTCAAGAGAGGCTCCTTGGCAGGGGCTGCTCAGGTTACTGTGGTGTAAGTGGATAGAGATCCCGAGGGCAGGGGGAGGACCCACAGCTACGTTTGCACAGCTCACAGCTGGAAACGGATTTATCTATGGAATTTGTAAAAGGGACCCCCCCACACACACTTTTTTTTACTTAGTGGAATTACTCAATTGGATTTTCAATAAGTGAGCACTTAAGCTAGGACTTCACATTTTTAGAAATGCTGGGATTGATTTTCATTTACTTAGTTCTGAAGTCTGTGGCACAGTGACAGGAACTCACTCAAAGGAAAGAATGTAAAATACATTTTGAAACATGTATGAACAACAAAATATGCAAGTTAAATTGCTTGCAGTTTCTCATGTGACATTCCTTTCATACCACTAAAAATTAAAGCCATCTGTTTAGGTTGAAAAGGGAATTTCATTTCTGGAACAGCAAACCAGATAGTCCCTGAAAATTATTTAAGAATGACTTTTAAAGGATTTTAAAAATTGGATTAGTGAAAATTATGAGACTCATTTTGAAAACCACACTGAAGAGAGCGAATGATTTTATGTCATTTTCTCCAGCAGTCAATGCATTCTACATTATGACCTACAATTAGTGTTTATTCAGTATCATCCTGCACGATCTAATTAGGAGGCTTAAAATAAGCCATGATAAATATATAATGCTAAGGAACTCAAGTGACTGTCTTAAATTTAAAGAATAAGTAAGTCAAATGTAGGCTCTTGTTTCGCTCAGATGTCACATGTGCATGTGTCTATAGACTCTGTTGAAATGGTGCACCCAGTTGGACAAGTTGTTACAGGTAGCCTTGTAGGTACAGGGCCTCTGTGTATAAATGCAGTTTCCTGTGGCCCCATGTCTTCCAGAAAGACCAGGCTTTGCTTAGTCTTATGAGAGGACAGAATATAGAATGGTTGGAGTACATGGTGAATGCTTTGTTCTCATATGAGTAAGGAATATGAAAATTGCAAAAAGAATGCAAAAGATTATAGAGCTGCAAGTGCCTTCCTGAAGAGGGGAACGGGAGAGAGGGAGGTAATCTGGCGGCGGCTGCGGAAGAGGGTAAGAGAGGCCACGCTGCCATGTTAAATGCAGCCTTGAAGTCGGAGCCTGGGATCAGAAAGTCTTCAGCGATTCTCTTATCCTTCCGCACAGAAGGAGGCGGGCTCACCACCACAAATCCTGCCTGCCCTTCACTTATCCAGGAACCCATTCCTCTACTGACATCAACTGGTAAGAATGTGGAAATGTGGGCCACATGCTGCGGGGAGGGGAAGTCCCCAGGGCCAGCTGGGACCTCTGACCCAGAAAAGTTCTTCCAGGCAGCTCCAGAGAAAAGAGCTGCTTCCAGAGAGCTTAGCCTGAACACAGCCTGCTAGGAGGTGTTGTGATTGATGTCAGAGACCATGTGAAGGTCAGAAATGTGTAGATAGAGTATGCAGTGAGTGCCTTGACTCTAAACTATAAATGAACAAATAAATTATTCAATTCCTTAAAAGTGGCTCAAGCCTTCATTTTTGGGGATTGTTGTGGGAATAAGGTGTTGAAAATATCACTTCACTGGTATTCATGGCAGTTTCTGGCACATTTCTATGCCTATATCCATGTAAGCCTCAGTCCCAATACTTTGGCCATACAAATGGGACTGCCAGGGAAAGACCTGGCCTTAATTCCTTTCACTTATGCATTTGTTTCACAAACATTACATATAGTTATTGTATGTTTTGTACTAAAAAGGAAAAAAAAAAAAAACCTAATCTAACAAGAGAGAAGAAAGATAATAAGCAGGGTAAAATAAAAACAAGTAAACAAACCCTTATCCTATCTTGGGCTCTTAGAGGGAGTGCCCAGTTATTATTGCTGAAAGAAAAGAAATACAAAATAACTGCTAAATGTGATAGATCTGAATCCAGATGACATTTATGTTTTGTTATTTCTATGTGAGGACTTCAAGGCAAGGAAATAAACTTCTTAGCTGTCCAATGTTTTTTAATATAAAGAAATCTATCAGGAGAACCATGCTGTGGCTCAGCATTTGACATACTGAAAATCTTGGCTCTAAATATAAAAAACAAATCAACATGCTACTAACACTGTCTATCCCTTTGGCAAGAAAAAAATTCTGTATTTAGCTTTATAGAATTTGATGGGACACAGGCTGGATCCACTTCTCTGGCACATCATATCCATAGGGGTTTGATTCTCCTAGCCTGGATTGTCACCCACATTGATTCATGACACAGTCAGAAAAAAAAAAAAAATAGCCTGTGCATTTGCTAGAAATAAGCAGTTGATGCATTTCCAGAAAAGGCAAATCTACCTAAAGACCATCTTTCTTAGCAAACGTTACTGGGCTCATCCTGTGTGCCTGTCACTGTACACCAGCATTGTCAGTGACCTAGGGACCGTGTAAGGATCCCTAGGTGCAGATCATTTCATGGTACCATCATGGGGTGAATGCAGAAATCACAGTGCGCAGAATGTTTCAGGAATGTCCATATTGGAGGAGAGCTGTTAGTAACTTTTCTCATTTTTGGCTTAAAGATCGAATGCTTACAAATGATTGCTGTTCCTAATGATCAAACTTTCTCCAATGTTTTGTCTCCTTTGTAAGAAGAGTTTTGGATTTTGAGGTGAAGTAGTCATCGATAAATAAAAGACTGGTTTTTGTTTCCCATTCTGGTAATGGCAGCCATCCATTTATTAAAATGTGCTGAGCACAGAATTAGTCCAATGGCTGCTTTCTGCCTGTCTAAATCACAGGCATGTCCCTTGATCTCTTGAGACCATGGCTTAAAAACACTGTATTTAGGACTTAACAAGTAAAGTAACACAAAAGCACATCTTTCACAAGATGATTTAATTCCACAATGATGTGGTACTTAAGATGTGTCAGAATTTAATTGGGGAGACCTTGACCCACACTGAGCAGGACTCTGGATATTCTTTTCTCAGTAAAATAGCTTGCTTGGAAATTGTATCCTTTGGTACACTGAGTTACAGCTGTCCTCTGCTTTGTACCCAAGCTGAAGCTGATTTTAGATGAAAGCTGCACATATGTCATTGGAAATACTTTCAGATACATTAGAGGAAAGATATTATTTAAGAGTAAATTATTAGCTACCATAATAAGAAGGATCTGATTTCATGTGCTCACGAGAAAGGAATGTACCAAACTATATTTCAGCACACAAGTTGCATTTAAAGCAACCACAATACTCTGGGCCCTGCTCGGAACATTCTCCACACGACAGTATTGGTTACTGTGTCACTTATATTTTTTGCTCCTAAAATGAATGAGTGAACTCAGTAGTTATGAAAAGAAGAGTTGACAGGTGGGTGAGGATTTGAGTTTATTTACAGGAGATAGTTTAACACATGAGACCCGAATCTTTGCAGCCCCCCCACTCCACGGTGCTCCCAGAGTAAAATGACAGCCCTGGCAAATGCCAGGGAGGGCACCCCGTCTGTCTTCTGGAGGGTGTGCATCACTTCGGGTGGGGGTGAGGAGTGGAAGAAATACATGATATATAATTACTCATTGAGAAATTTTTTTCACTTAAGGTGAATCCTGTTCTTAGTAACCTTCTAGAACAGATAAAATAAGGTGATTTTGGGTGTTACTGCAGTACAACAAATGAGAAAAAACTGAAATATATTCCAAATTGTGGGGAAGATGCAATGTGATCTGAGGGTGAAAGTAGTTGCAGCTTTCAAGTTTCAGAAATTATACGAACTCCTGCTCATGTTTCCTGACCCACAAAGCTTTCTGAATTTCATGCTTCCCGAATTTAAATTTAAAATAAATATTATGATTTGCTTCCTGCATTTAAAAATGTCACCTAAAGATATTTACTATGTCTACATATTAAATGGTCAGTTTTAAGCGACTCCAAAGTGCCATGTGAGAATAATAATGTCCTTGGGTGTCACAATTCTAACCTTTCATTATAATTAAAACCATATCAAGTCAGACATAGTACTAATCAAGTTTCTATCACCAGAGATTTAGGTACTTACTGGGAACAGGACAATGGGCACAGTTAAAGTTACTGCCACCAGGACTGCCAGACGGACCATGAGAAGAAGAGTGTCAAACGTGTACACGTTGCTGTAAGCATGAAGTAATTCATCTTCAACTTCTCCTACAAGGGGGAAGAAGAGAACGAGTCCATCTACCTGATGTTGCTACCTCAGCTCTAGTTATGACACAGGACCGTGAGCGACTCAGTGAGAGACCAGAAGCTTGTTCTTGTTTCTGAACTATCAGCTATGTGAACTTTATTCAAATGAACAAACTTGTGGGAGCTAACAGAAAACTGCTAAAGCACTTCTTGGGGTCACATGTATCATAATAAATCAACCTCTTCATGCAATTCTCAAAACACATTAGAGAAACTCTAGGACTAATTATGCCTACCACTTTTGAAAGATTAACACTTATGACTTTATTTACAACACTGAAATACACACTCTTGGGCTTTTTTAAGATTAGTTTGTCTCATGGAACTCTATACAGTAAATAACATGCATGATGAGTAGTATCATTTCTACCAGACTCTCCCACAGAATATTGCTCAAAGATTAAATTCTCCTTGAAAACAGATTCATTCAGATACAAATGCCAGGGAGCTATTTATGGAATCTGATGCAGTTTAATGTCCTACTGTTCTTCCCAAGGTCCGACAAAAAGGGATAAAAATACATTTTGTGCTATTGACCCCAACTTTCATTAACTGCAATCAACAATGAGTTTATGCCCAATCTAAAGCAATTGCCTTGTTAAAAGTCAAATATTAGTCAAATAGAAAACAAATCTATGCAAAGGATGGCCTACTATGATATCGTTTTCTCCCCGGCTCATCACTAATTAATTTATCAAGTCAATAAGAAAATCCAGAAGTTATGGAGACATATACAAAACTATATTGATACACTGGCTATTGTGAACATATGCTATCAGGTTTATATTTGATTTCATGACATTTATCTGTAGGGTCACGATTTATGGAAGAAATAACAGCGATGATATTCCTTTTGGGCACTATTAAAATTTCAAAGCGAAAATGTTTAATATGTTTAATACATAATCAAATATGGTCACAGTCAGCTTCTGTTGTTGTTTTTTGGTTGATTTTTCTTCATTTTGGTAGAATATTTTCAGATCGAAGGAAATCCTGCCATATCCTTCTCTTTCTTAGGAAACCATTCCCTGTACCAGAATAGAATATATGAGCCTGAAAGTTTACCTAATGTCCCAAGCTGCCTGAATGGACTTGACTGGTAAAAAGAAGCAAGTTCAAATTTAAGAATATTGTTAACTTTCTGCCACTTCCTTGGCAGTTATTTCCTCAAAAGTGCTTTACCAAATGCAACTGTATTTATTCTCATTGCTTCTAGCCTGAAATTGACCGCACAGTCTAGCCAAAGAAATAGTGTCTATGTCTGAAGGGAAATAACTTAATGAGAGATTTTAAAATAAAACATATGTGAATTCATAGTAACCTATTACCTAAGCAGGTAGGGTTCATTTTCTAGATCAAATGACAAAGCTAAGATAACATGTTGATGGGGTATGTGTCATCTACAGATTATGCAGCTTATAGAAGTAAAAGTCCTACCAAGATTCGCACAAAGTAAATGACTCTGACAGTACCTACCATAGAATGTTAGATAACCAAAAAGGGCAGCAAGCAGGTACATGACAAGCATCCCTGTGATGGAAATATTTGACACTGTTTGCATCTTCTTCCTGGACCGACTGAAAGTAAAAAGAATATTGATTTTAATTTTTTAAACATATGAAAGTATGACTTTTTAAACAAAAAATATTGAAAGGATATGTCTGTTGCTAATTATGAAATCACATTTCTAGTGCATAAACATCTGATTTCAGTTTGTCACAAAGAGCTAAAGAGAGTTTGTTTTTCATTTTTCTTAAACATTTGACTCATTTAATTTTGGAAACAATCATTTCCCTAGAAAAAGAATTGCCTATTTCATGTCAATAAACAAGCCTACCTATGAATAATTAATATCACTGACATAAGGATCAAACTGGTTCCTAATGTGAAAAGCTTTTGAATTTCACAGTGAAATGAGGTTTCTGAGAACAAGAAAACACTAGAACCAGCAAAGCCCTATTGCTAAGGGTTCAGGCCACTAGAAAGCTTGAGATCTTTACCTGGACAAATTCTGGAACCCACTCTACAGGGTACCTCCTACCCAATGAGCTTCTGGAGTACATGCGATATGTGATTTTTCAAAGTAAATCAAAAACATTAAAATGATTGAAAGTGTTCCAAATATTTTATGAGGTAAATTTAGAATTTACAGGGAGAGGTACTGCTAATGTCTGGGTGAAAAACCCTTGAGAATAGTTATATGAGGGCATAACTTAAGGAAAGCAGCTAGGGTGAGCTCATACCCACTGAGGCCCCATGGAGATGTCAACAACCTGAACAAAAAAAGAATATGAATGAATCATAGACCACCAGCTGGGAAAAGCAAGATTTGCTAGCCGATGTCTCCATTGTACAGATAAGGCAATAAAGACCAGATATGGCACATCTCTTACAGTTGTATGCCTTTTAGATGAGGGTTCGAAACTGACCATATGTGTTTCTAATGGCTTAATAAGGCCACTCTAACCGTAACTGTTGGTCATCTAGGGTTCTGTCCTTTCTAATCCAGGGGACATTGATTCTTCCCACCCAAATTCATATTTAAATTCCTTACACCTGTCAATCATTACAAATACAATGGCTCCTCTTCCACCTCCCCTGACCCCTCCCCTGACCCATATGGCAGAGGGAGAAGAGACAGGATGCAGATAAGGTAACGCAGTGTGTGCGCTGAGTCATACCTCGCTGGTTAAAGTACATTGCTGCTGAATGGTTGTAATACAAACTTTCTCTGAAGAGAAAGCTCTAAACCGTGCTTCCTTGTAAAGCGTCTTTGAATATATGAGCATATTTTCAAAGTGAATTAGGATGCTAAAATGATGGGTGCCTTACTCTTTAAGTTCACTGTAGATGGGAAGGACCTCGGGGTGGCAAACAAAAGCAAATACTAGGATAGGAATTGCATAGGCCGTCTGTAAAACAAAGATAACACCAATGTTTAGCATTCCAACACAGATGGTGATCTTAGACCACCTCAGTTTATGAAAGAAAAACCCAGAGGTCACATTTCTGAGCTCATGAGAAACCAAGTCTTCTAACTTACCCGGGAGTTGAATACAAAGTATTTTGGTTGACACTTGTCGTCATTTCGGGCTTCAAACTCTACTCCACTGCCGTGAAGCGAGCCCTTGGCCTGGTTTTCATCCAGCCCTGCGGGACTGCGGTGGGTATAATCCATCATGAAGTTCACACCAGTACTATCGGAGTTGTTGGGCAGTGTTATCACGTGTATTGGAAGTGTGTTGTTGAATGTCAGATTTCCAGCATTATGATCCAGAATAGGCAGAGGACAAGGTATTTGAAATTTCTTGTAAATCACCTGGATCCAATCATTTAAGAGAAAAAAAACCCAAGTTTTTGAGGAAAAATAATAGATAAATTCTGTATATGTGTCTTATGAGATGAGGGTGAAGGAACTCAGTCAAACATTGTTTTTAAACTAATGGGCTATGGAGATAGCCTCCATCCTGTGTTCTAAGACAGAAGCTGGAGCTACGGGTGCGAGCACTGCCCACAGGACCGGGCGGGAATCAGTGGAGCCAAACTTTATAGGAGTCCACTACAAGACGTTATGACCTCCTGAAACAAAGATGGTCGTTTTCCTCGCTATATTTCATGTCTTATTTCTTCAAGCTAATGATTACATGGGACATCAAAATTTCTTCTTTACACTTTTAGGGAAATGCTTTATAAATTTGGCATTCATGATATTCTAAGAAAATTCTTTTTTTTCATAGTGGTAGAATTTTTTAACTCCACTGAGGTTGCCCTCTCTTCCTGGGCTAAATATGGAAGAAAAAAAAATGACTAATTCATGTGAATATGGGAGCAGCCTACTGAGGTCTCTCTTGTCTTTCATGTCTTTCTTTACCTTTCTAAATACTGGATTATTGTAATGGCCCTTTGTCCAAATATTCACAAGGCCTGGAACATAGCCTTGACATCCTAACTTCACTATTTTTAAATTCATGATTGCTCTTTTCTCATTCCAAATTGAAACACAATAAAGTTGCCTGTCATCCAAGAACAAAAACAAGGACACTAATTCAGGCACTCCAAGCATCTAATGCTCACCAAGCTACAAGAACTGTGTCAACAAATCACTTACCACACTGACAAAAAACACCATACAGGTAAGAGAAAATCCACTGGTATACCCAAGGTAACCTAGAAGTAAGGAAAAAAATTCTGAAAGGTGCATATGACATTTACAAACAGCTTATTAAAATAAGCATGAATAGAAAATGAAATGAAAACATTTTCATTCACAGAATGACTTTACCTAAATTTTTAAGAAGAGAAAGTGGAAGAATAATTCCCAAAGACACAAATATGATGAGGTAGTTGCCGTTGAGGTACCATTCCCTAGGAGAGGAAAGAAGATGAGGATGTTAGGACCAGAAAAGATCAAACAGTCACTTGATGTCAAAAAGAAGAGATCAGAAGACATACCCAGAATTTTCTTCAAGTCTCATGAATGCTCTGAGTACTTCAGGTAGTTCATATTTAATGATAAAGAGGTAGCTTGACATTGCTAAAATGGAAAATGTGGCAGCTTAGTGGTTGCAAGTTGTAAAGAAGTCATTACACTTGGAATGTGCATTCTGCTTGGTAAGATGAACATCTACTCTTGCAAACAGGAAAAAAAGTCACGCATTTGGCACTGCTTCTATGGTCTTTTCAAGATTACTCATCCAACCCTCTAGTTTTACATGCAGATTGCAGCTAGGGTGTCAGTTAATTTTGTACTAAATCAGCTCTCAGATTTTGAGTGGAGCTGCAGTTTCAGCATTTTAGCTCATTATTAGGTGTGCCTGTTTTAGTGTGTATGGGCAATGGTCTGGCAACAAGAGGCACGGGCTAAAGAGAGAGGGAAGATTGCAAGGTGAAGCAGAGTAGATGCACTATCACTCTGGCTTTCCTCGGGGCCTCCGTGGTTTCTCTGAGAAGTGCAAAAGATCTCAGACTACTGATTTTTAAACTGGAACCCTCCTGGATCATTAATGAATACAGGAAATGATAGTTTCTCCCCTTTTTCGTCAACAAGGGTTTTTGGTTTTTTCCTCTATGCTCCAATCTATCTAGCCAAATACCAGGTTGCACGAAGAAGCAAAACTTTATGAAGATCCTAGTAAGTGATACATGGAAGGATCAGACCTGTTCTAAAAACCTGGTGATGTCTATAAACCTTTTTCCATGAAAAACAAATATGTATGTATATGTATATGTAATGTATAATATTACAACTCTGTCTATATTTAAAAGATTTTATGCTACCTCCATTCCCCAGCTCCATTCATTCAGTGAATTATAATATCAATTTGTTAATGAGGCATGGTAAAACGTTTTCACTAAAAATAAAAGTGACAAATTTTACATGAAAGTTTGAGGAGTGTGCTGCATCTATCCTTCTATAAATTTATGCTAATAGGCATTTAAAATAGATACTTAAGTTCTGGAGGTATAGCTTAGTAGCAGAGTGTGTCTGTCAGGTAAAAGATAATGGTTTCAATCCCCAGCACCACAAAAAATGAAAGAAACAAAATAACTAGATATCTAAATTAGAAATTGAGCAATTAAGAGTTTTAAAATTTTCCTTAACTTCAAACAAAATAATAGTGATAATAACTCCTTTTATTGTTTAGTTGTGCACAGCATTACTTCACTTGATCATTTGAAAAGGTCTATCAGATGTCAAGGTTTATGTTATCCTTGATACCCTCAGCTGATTTATGTTAGTATGAAATGACTTCTGTAATACCTGACACATCTTCTGTACACATTGTTTAGTTAATCTTTACAAAGACCGTAGCTGGATCTGGATCTTGCAGAGCATAAAGAGGAAGTATTTCTGATTAATGGGCTCAGTGAAATACTATTCAATTTTAGAACTATTATTGCTGACTTTCTGTGATGTCACCGCTGTTAATGTGTTTGTTCTTTGAAAATTCTGAACGATCCAGATCTTTTGGGTAATGTCAGCATTATTTTGCTAATGCTAAAACATACATACTGAACGTTAATTTTTTAGGGAATTGAAAAACTAGGGGTTCTAAATATGGAGCTGCTATACCAATAAATAGAAGTGGTTTCTTTTATGCCAAGTATTTACTAGTCATATGAAATAACCGAAGTGAGAGCATTTTCTGGTTGGTATTATTAAATTGCACCTCATATCCGTAAAGTCACACTCATTCATAGCTTTATGCAAAGCCCACTTTATAGTTTATTCCTATTTTAGAAGAATAATAATGGCAATGCTTTGACCTACCAGTACTGGCCGATGGCATACAGCTTGTATTCAGGGCAAAATATGCTTATGCCTGCTATTTCAGTTATCAAACAAATATGAAGCAATTCTATGAATTTAGACCTTGGTAAGTCTGAAAACTTTGAACTAAATATAAAGTAGTCTGGTGGGATTTAAGAGGTTTAGAGGCTTCTGGGAAAAACCCAGTAACAACCCCAGGGTTACTGCCAAAATCTGTCAGAGTCATAACATATAACTCATGAAGACATAGCAGTTGGCTAGCATGCATTCGGCCCTGAATTTGATCTCCAGCACCTAAATAAATAGATAAATAAATAAATGCAAAAACATAGAGCTCAGTGATAGAATATTCCTAGCATGTGTGAGGACCTGGTTCATCAAAAAAGCCTAGCACACACCAAAAACAAACAAACAAACAAAAAAAAAAAGTCAAATCTGATTTGATTTCATTTATCTGATAATGAATTATGCATTGCCAGACATAGGGAAAGTTGGATAATGGTTACTAAAGGAAATGCTGCACTCCAGAAATCATACATAATTCTATGAGTTTACCAAACGAGCTGCCTCTTTCCAACATTTCCATTACTTTTTTATTGAATAAAATGTGTAATAGTAAAAATCATAAATGATCCCATTTGTTCTTCAGGAAAAATAAGTATAGCACATATTTGTAATAGAAAACTTGAAAGACGTTAAAAAGAATAGCATGCAAATACATTCAAGGTATACTGTTAGTTTTAAAAAGCTTCAAGTCAAAGTGCCAGGTGAACTAATTTTAACAATACTAATACATTTGTGAAGTTTGGCATAAATGGAAACCTGGAGCAATGTTTCCTAGAGTGACTCACATAAACTTGCCTTGGTAATTTATCTATTCATATAATGTTCTAGTTATTCACAATTAGCATGCATTTGCTTTTCAATTATACAAATACCTATTTAAAAATAATCAGAGAGTTCTAGAGACGTGGATATCCAAGATCCAAGACGTGGAGAACCAGGTCCTCAACCCTTATTACATGCTATGTGTCATCTCATTTCATCTTCACGGTGACATTGTAGAACTCTCATTTTCATAGATAGAAAAATCAGACTCAAGGTCACAGATAATGATGGAAACAGACTCAAAGTCAGGCAAAACAAATTCCAGAAAGCAAGACTCCAAAGCCGTATTCTTTCCTCAAGGGGCTTAAAATAACTTTTTTAAAAAAAGTAATATACATACAAACAAGGCCAAGAGAGATGCAGCCAGCAAGATACCTCATGTATGGGTTCAGACACCTTATGAGGGTCAGAGACACAACTGAACTCATATGAAGCTGGTGGGCATCATCTAGAAAATTCTAAAAATACATATATGTAGCCTCTGCTCTGGAAATTCTAATTTACCAGGAATTGTAAGAATCTGTAAAACCAATAAATCTTTGGTCTATCCTGCTTCTTATATCTAGCAGATATTTGCTTGTGACATACTCTAGAGACCCTCTTAAGTGGAAAGGCTCAGTGCAGGAACTTTGAGCCCCAGTCTTTGGCCACGCCTTCCCCTCGCCCATCACCAACACCATTTACTTTTCCATTGTGTTACATAACTTAGTGACACACCTGAAACACCAACTGTTCTGACAGTAACAGAAACAAGCATCACTGTTTTCACTTTTAAAAGCAATCATTAATGCCATAATAGCATTAGAAATCAAGGAAGGGAAGATTTTAACTTACTTTCAATTTAGAGAGTTTTATACATTATCACATTCCTAGATATTGCTATTTTCCATTAAAGAATGACAACGAATCTACGAAATTTTACTTCTGAAACTTAAAAGCAATAAAGCAGTTATTGCCATAGAGGTTTTTGCTGATTGACTATTCTCTAGAAAGTTTGCAGGACCACTGAAAGCTAGATACTCTTACCGCCAATGTTCTGCATTGTAATGGAAATAAAAGCTCCAATTTTTCCAGGCCATCCAAATGCCTTCTCTCCTAATTTTTCATAAATTAATGACCCTATAATGAAAGAGAAAATAATTTTAGAGATATGTTTAATGGCTAAAATACTTCCATCATATAACGCTACACTTGCATTTCAAACACATAAGTAACTTTAAAAATAAATTATAAACCTAAAAGATGCAGCTTCAAAAACCAATAAGCAGTAGATTAATATGTTCTCCAGGCAGAAAGCAATGAGTTCATTCATTATAGCTGCACATAGCAAGTTAAAACACTCATTTGAATCATCCACCTAAAGTCTCTTCTTTTTTATTTGGCTTGAACTGGAGTGAGTTGACTTTCACTCCTGCGGCTCACTTGTCCAGATAACTAAAAACCTTATGAGGCAAACTATGTTTCTGAAGTCATGTGAAACTGAATAAATCATCCTCAGATGAAGTGATACACTGAAATATTCCTGTATTAAGAGTCAAAATAGAATGTCTCGGGCTTATCAGGTAACATACCTCCTTCCTTGGCTGTCTTTAGTAAAAGGTGAACTGAATAGAGTGATAATATTGCCACAGCAAGCAGCAAAATTCTGTAGAGTAGAAAATAAAATTTTGATAAGATATAAGACATCATAGTATTAGAGTTATAATAAGGAACCACATTGATCGTGTGGGGATTTAGGGGGAAACTGAGGGATCCTTTTCAGAATGTCAAACCTCCCCTCTGATTCTATATTTCACATGTTTATTGCCTATGGTTCCTAACATTTTTTAGGGTTACACAATTATAGAATCTGTTTTATAACTTAAATTTTAAGTGTATGGCAAGAAAATCAAACACTACAGCTACTGAACTCAGCCTATGGGTCCTGTACATGTACACTGCATTTGCATTAAGATTTGGAATTGAAGTGCTGTTTAAAAACCTAACTAAACCTTAATCTAGAATCTGAGAAGTCTAGAACCAGAATGTATAGCATCAGCTCCATTTCTACTAATCCTACAATAGAAAAGAAAGTCACTTTGTCCACAGAGGACCAGAGAACTGCATGTGTGATAAAGTAGAAAAAGTCAGCAGGGAAATCTCTTTCTTTCTTTTTTTAGTATTCAGAAAGAATAATTTCTAATGTCAGGACTTTCAAAATATCCATATGCATGCATTATCTATGTATATACTCATCAATATTTCTTTATAAACCAAGAATTAGAACACAAAACCAAGAAGTAGAGTGAAAAACCGAGTTAGAGAACAATTACATTGCAAAATCAGGAATTAGAGTGCAAAATAAGATAGAAGCATCTATATAATAATTGGAAGGACAATATCAAGGCTTACTTGAAATTCTTTTTAAAAAAATTATTTTGTGTGATGAGAACACACTAAACATCTTCCCCACAACTGATCTAATACTTTGGTAATTTTCTATGCAATCAATGCTGTAGATGCAAATTTAGACTATGAATTATATATTTTATAACTACTATAGCTGTATTGTGCTCTGTCTAGGAACTATGTCTGCCAGAACTCTCTCATCAATTATTTATTCATGTATTTTTATATATGCCTTATAAACTTACCTGTTTTTTTTTTTTGTTTTTTTTTTTTGTCTTTTTCCTTTTTATCGGTACCGGGGATCGAACTCACGACTGCCTGCTTGCAAGGCAGGCGCTTATGCCGCTGAGCTAAACCCCCAGCCCCAAACTTACCTGTTTTTAAAAAACATGTAACTCTGATTACATAATTTTGTTCCTTGGAAAAACAGTAAATGTTCCCTGTATTCTAAACGTGTAGTTTCTCTGACAGAAAATAGTAAAAGAGAAACCAATCAAATACTGTGTTACTTGCTGTGAATTAAAGGAAATAGCTGAATCAATTATGTGCTATTTGACCATGCAAAATACACTGTATTGTGTTTAGTGATTTAATTGCTTTGGCCAAATTAATCTGCTAAATGTTTATAGGCCCAAAATGAGCCCTTACTTGAAAAATGCAATATTCTCTTCCAATAATTATGATCTACGATTCTAGGATTGTGGGAAGAGCTTCCTGTTTATATTCATCAGATGTCTATGTTAACTTCATGATCAATTCTAATATTATGTATATTTAATAAGGAGAAAGAAGTCTTTGTTTGGGAGGCACTAAATACTGAAGAAGCATACAAATATATTAACGCATTTCTAGCTATTAAAATTCAGATATTCAAAAACTAATTTATTTCAAACATGACTTATAAAAGTAAAGTTGCTATAAAATCCACTCAGTTAAATAATACCATATATACAAGAGTTCACTCAAAGCACTAATGCAAGATAAATACTTACAGTTGGGATTCTCAGCCCTCAAATATTTATATGGTTATCTAATCATATGTGATGTTTCAGAACACAAATAGCATACACTTAGCATATAAATGTTCCATTCTTAAACATTTATTTAACAGTCTAGCATTGTGTTTGGAACCAGGATCTATGTTCCTATTGACACCTAACATTAGGCTTTATTCTTATGAAGAATTCCACTATTTCCATATGTCTCAGACAATACTGGGCTGTGCATGATGCACACACATCTCTGTAGCTGATACAATACCCATCTGTGTCAGCTACATGAGGCTTCTGCATTTAAGGCAGCATTTGACCAAATGTACTGAAAACTCATAGATTTAGAATTAAGTTTCAGTCACTCAGAAAGTATATCCTGTGCCAAACACAATGCAAGGTTTTGCGGGGGGAATCATGTGGCAAAACATAGACAATGTTTGCTGGGCTTATACTAGCAAGGAAGACGGCCAAAGCATCAGAAAAATGCATGAGAATACTAAAACAGTGGTGAGTGCATCAGAGATTTGCCCCAGTCATAGAAGTCAGAGAAGGCAGCACGGAGTAGAGGCTGAGCCAGGCTGGGAAGAGTTAAGTAGATAAAGAAGAAAAGAGAGCTCCAAGATGATACGCAAAGCCCAGTGGCTAGAGGGAATTTGGTACCTTTTTGGGATGGAAAGATGGCCAGTGTGCCCACTATGTCTTGTCTCCAGGAGCACACAGAATGGGCCCAGGGCATGCAGGCCACTCAGGTATGACTACAGATGGAGTATTTTCCCCAAGAGTATTTAAAAATCAGACTTGCATGTAGGGAATATTTTTTGACTAACAACCCTAAATTATTTTAAGAATCTGTTGAACAATGAGATCCTTTGTAGAATAATTTCTGTGAACTTGCAGGGCTGCTCCAGCATTTTGGGTAGTTGCACATACAAAGCCATTGTTAGAGACAGTTGGGTGAAGAAGCATCATTATGAGACTGTTTTATTAGACTGCTATAGCTATTCCTCAGCTCCCTGTTTTATCTAAAGGGAGGAAGGTTTGCTAATACTTTCTCAAATTCTTCCTGGTCATAGCTTGCTCTTCAGACTACCAATTGAAAGAGCATCACGTTATATACACATGGACTTAATCTTCAAATGTAGATATGTGTTCACTTACATAAAAAGTATGATTCCAGTGTTGGCCATAGCATAGGATAAGCCCAAAATTCCACTGCCCATGATGGCATTACTCAAGTTGAATGAAGACATTCCAAAAGAAGTGGTTCCAGGATGCTTGAAAAACAGGGACACGTTATAAGTGAACACTTGCCAAAAGACCAGTCATTTCTTGGTTTATTCTTCTTCTCATGTTACCTCTCCTGAATGAGATTACAGTCCAAAAAGTGAAAAGGCTAAGATAAAGTCATAGCAAGGAAAAGTCATTACTCACCTTTAATAAAACCATGTATTTTTCAATGGAATGTAGCGTTTAATCTCAGCATAGACCTCCATAAAAACACACGCAAAAAAATACAGGAGGGAGCAATCAAAAGAAGGCCAAACATGTATGACTGCAGGCTACATTTGAGTTAGAATGATTTCTCAAAAAGAAAAAAACAAATAAATTTCATAAATGATTTATGCAGCCATATGGCGAACAGGAAAAACAAGCCCTGATTCCAGTAAGGGCCTGAATAAACAGAGAATGTGCTGATCAAGGCTTGGAAAATTTCAGTCATACTGTTTTCCCACAGAGACACAGGTACATCCGGCACCCTCAGTCCCGCCCACTGCCCGACAACAGAGGTTCACTTACATGTTCATCATCATAACTGGCCGGCTTCTTTCCCCCCAGAAACCCATTTGTCAGGAACTTCTGGCTTTCAGCATCTTCATTAGCAAATTGACTGAACACACACAGAAAAGGAAAATTAGAGGGTCAAAGCATCTAAATAAACGTTCTAAATTATATTTGTTTTAGGGGACTAAGTAGCTCAAGTTAAGAGAAAAAAAAAAGCCACCTCAAGTGATTTTTCTTCTTCTTCACATTAGTGTTGCTTTCAGACAAAAAACTGAGCTCCATTTATAAATAAACTTTGGGAGGTAAGGAGAATGTTACAAAGGAAAAATATTTTCAGCTGAAAAATTGTGTATGCCACATTACTTTGTCTCTAAAGAAACAATACAAAAAAGTGATTAAATTGGAACATATTTTGTGTGAAAGGGTACAGGCTCATGATTCTGAGTTTTCTACGTTACTATCATGCCATCATCAATTTTTATTAATTTAACAAGTATTTGTTAAATATGTGATCCTCATCCCATTTCATGCCCAAAATATTTCTAGGCAAGGAATATTTACGTAGTTTCTCAAAAGTTGAAGCAACTATGGCTAACATAGTGAAGGAATAAGCCCCCAGCTGCCAGACTCCAAGTCCATGGTCTTCTACGCATGACAGAGTTCCAAGGAGGGCTGGACTGCTATTTCCTCTTCTCTGGCTCTATCTGCTTATATATATTTCTTAAAGAATAACAGTTCATTTGTAGCTTTGTTACATTTGGGGTGTGTGTGTGTGTGTGTGTGTGTGTGTGTGCGTGCGTGTGTGTGTGTGTTTAATTACCCTGAAAATATACATGGTAAGGATGGGGCTTTAAAATGTCACTATCCATACAACACTATGATTAGTGTCTCCTTGGGGATGGGCTAGAAGATGCATAAATTGGTCCCAATACTTCCTCCTTGTCCTGTTGTTCATGTAGTTACATGTGAGGAGCTTGAAGGCTGTGGACTAAAGGTCAGTCACATTTCCAAAAGGCTTGACAAATGAGGCCAACAAACAACACTGCACTTTTATCCATCAACATATTCACCTTTGTATAATAGCAGCCTTTTTGCTGCTATTACAGAAAATGTTCCACTGTGGATGTTTCTTTAAGTACTTTATAATTAAATGACTTGCAATTTTTAGGATATCTTTTGCATTGAAGAGAAAGATAAAACAAAGAGCATTCTCTGAAAAAAATAACCATTGGAAATAAAGTGGGAAAGAATTATTAAAGAAAATCTGCATAAATTATCTTTCATATAGAAGCTAATCCTGAAAACAAACTGGTGAGGAAGAGGGAGGGTAAGGTTAATCTTTGAGATTAGACAGCAATACAAGGTGTAGATAGAAAAAGCAGGCAAAAGCCACAAAGTTTGATGTGCTGTTCTGGAACTCGAGGAGTCAATAGCTCTGCATGTACAAGAGCGTTTCCTAGCATTCTCCTCGTTTCTCAGAGGAAACATAATGCCCTTACTTGCTGACTTCTTCCATTTCCACACTTCTCCCCCCACATTTTGTATTTCACTTTAATAGTCTGTGGTTAATATACTTGTTATGTGAGGACTGGTACATAACGTTCAGAATTGAAAACTGAGACAACTGGATATAATGGGACTAAGGACTATAAAAACAGACATGTTACTTAGAAAAGGAATTTAAATTCAGGAATGGCCAACATCCTACTTTTCACTGTAATCAATAAACTAAAAGTTTTGCTTGTTGAGTGATTTTTAAAATTTTGAATTTGGAAGTAAACTGATTATCTTTTATATGAGGCATTTGCATGCTCTTATTTTTGCATAAGAGTCATAGCCCTAAAACATGCCAAGATGGTATAAAACACATGAGTAATATCTTCAGTGTGTTAAATATTTTGATACCAAACCAAGAATGTATTGAAAACATAAGTAAAATGATCTCAAATAAATATAGCATGTTGAATTTCTCAGAAAAAAATTACATTTTAGGTTCATTCCAAACCAAACAAATAAAAGCCATCTTTTAAAAGTGATTATAAAATTGCACAATGATGACCTGTGTTTGAGCCAGGAGCTTAATGGCAAATCATTCTGAGTGGTGCAGAAGAAACTGTAGAAAGCTCTTCCATTACAGCCTTTGTAGGGCTACATGGCATCTCTCTAGGAATGCTCTTCAGGCAATGTCCCTTTCAGCTCAGCCAACCTTTGCAGAGCTCATATTTGCATATATATCTTTCAAAATCAAAAGTTCCCATAGACTTGGATCAGTATTAAAGGTGATGACATGGGGGAGAAGGAATAAGAATTTATTGAATATCTTCTGTTTCATCTGCTCATTTAATCCTTAGAAAAGTAGGTCTTGTTTGCCATTTTGCATTTTGTACTGAAGCTCAGAGAAGATAAATATTTCCCAAAGTCAAGCAGCTGCTCTGCAGACTTCATTGCAGAGTGTTGTCAGTGTACTATCACAGTTTTCTCAAAAGTCAACTGATCCAGAAACTACCATGAGTCACTGTCCTCAGCAACCTTTAAGTTCACTGTGCAGAACTACTTGGAGGAAAAAGTGCTTCCTCCTGATTCCCCTTTGTAGATGATGTGAATAAAATGAGAAGTCCTGTTTGATAATATTATATAGATAATATTCTAGACTTTGGACCTAGTTTTGGTCAGCAATTCCTTTCTGAGCACAATTTGTCTTATAATGTTTTGTGGGAAGTTAAATTACATATCAGATAACTATGGTGCATCTGCTGTGCACCAGAAAAATATATGTGGTGGGAGACAGAGGTCACAGACCTTGGTACAGGTGTGATGAACACCTGGATAGGGAGAAGGATCACAAAAGAGCGGTGGTCTCTTCCTCCTGAGGAAGTAGAGGCATTTGGAGACTTTTAGGAGATTTGACATTGAGTTGATTCTTAAACGATGAGAATTACCAATAGAGACAAAGCAGGAACCAATGGGTGACTCCAGGTGTGTGGAGCAGAAGTGAAGGCAAGGGTTTATAAAAAGGAGCAGGATGAGAGACAGGACAGGAAGGGTTTATATGACAATCAATGTATAGTATAACATGTACATAACAGCTAGTATGGAGTCATGGCAAGACTTTGTTCAAGGATGGGACTTGATTTAATTTGTAATGATAAAAGATTAGTTTTGTAAGAGTGCAGGATGAGACAGAAGAGAACAGTATGTAAAAGAGGCAGATAAAGCAGAGTTGTTCTCATGGGGCAAGTGAGAAAGGGCTGAGATCTCATAGAAGCTGGCAATAGAATGGATAATGAGAAGTGGATTTGAACTGTTAATAAGGACAGCCAAATGGACACAGGCAATCCTCAGCTGAGTGGCTTGGGGAAAAGGGTAGTTATTTTGATTGCGCTGATGAATGAAATTTTGATTTGAAAATCCAGCTAAAAAACAGACACATTTATAAGAGTGATGCCACATGGTAATTTTTAACCCATACCTGAAATTGATACTTTATACCAGGATGGAGGTACTAGAGGAAGAATGGGTTTTGAAAAGAATGATAGGAACTCAGTATCAGACACTGCAAGTTTGACTGTAGAAATGAGGCAATTCAGACACACTAGTTGTCCAGTGAAGATGTGTACTAGAAAGTTCGATACAATGATTTGAAACTCAGTAGGAAAGTTGTACAGGCAGAGGACACGGCGTGCCGGTGGTGTCCCTGTGGTAGTTATGGATAAGCTTGCTCAGAGGACACTTTTACAAGTGAAAAGAATCACTATAGAAACCTGGAGATGTGGGACCAGTGAAAGAGCAGTCACAGGGTGAGTAATCTAAGAAAGAATAAACCAAAGAGCAAGAAGAGTGATAAGCTAATATGGCTAATATAGCTACACGATAATGACCTGAAGGCATTGCAATCTCAATTTTAGATTAGTCATGCAAAAGTCTGACACTGTGACTGTACCTCAGAATCAGGGAATTGATGTGTTAACATCAATGTCACTTATCTCAAATTTATCTGTTAAAAACCAGTGAGGTCCTTGTTTCCCAGGTCTATAAGCCTGTCTTAGTTTTCTATGGAACCTGGTAATTTTTAACCCATACCTGCTCATGGCTGCCTTTTCTGAATTTCCCATCCCCGAGTAGCTATCTTGAATACTTTCTCCACTGCTGCTTTCATCATCAGGTTCAATGTTGACTTTTCTCAGTTCCACGGGATCCATTTGACCTGTCAGCGCTTTCTGGTCTGCACACACGCTCCTTCAGTGTAAATAATATACTGCACCTTTGGCTTAAGGCTCTTCCACTTTGTGTTGATGTTCAGAACACTCTGTTCTGCAAACAGAACACAAATAAATCATTATAATTTTCTTTAAATTAGACAAATGAATATGATCACCTACTCTGTGTATGCTTTTTGTAAATTGCAGAAAGGTAGAAACACTCCTAAAAATTTTATGTAAAATGTCATCAATGTTTTCTTTAAGCAATACAAAAATCAAAAAATAGAAGAGAAGATGAAAAATTACTAATCATTTCTAATGTACTAGGTATTTTATAAAGTGCTTATGCATAATGAACATGGCAAGTGCTTTGCTAGTTACTATGGGAGGAAAAAACCCTTAAAATGTGGTATCAGTCATGAAGATTTAAGTGTTTGTAAGCAGACTGCACAGATTAAAAGAAGGGGAGACCAATGTAGACTGTTGACAAAAGAAGGGCTGCTAAGTATCTCTACTAGCAATAAAAAATTAATGTCTTAATTTAATTGTATGTGAAAGAATTGAAACCAACAAAATGTTTGACAATATGAAAACCAAGTTAGAATCAAGGATCAGGAACCTACTTTCTAGGTATTGAGATCCTGAAGCCACAGTTAAGAGTCACAGAAGGAAGTATGGGTCTACCTTTGAATGCATCAGTCATTGTTGATATCAAATTAAAATGTATTTTCATGCCAAAGAGACCCAGTTTTTAGACTCTACTTCAACTCACTCTCACTACAGGTTATTTAACTTTGTCACACCTCATTTATTTTAACTGTAGAGTGAAAAGAGGTGGACTGGCTGCGTGTTTGTTAAAAAAGTGTCATGAATCCATTATACGTTGTTGACCTACTTTTTAATGAAATTTTGTTTTATAATCATTCAACTATTGTTTAGAGATAATATTGTGAAAAACATGATCACTTTTAATAAGGAGTGGTTCTGAAATATGCAATAGCCATGTGATAAGAAAACTCTAAGCAGAGAAACTATATTAAAAACTTATTCCAGAACTCACAAAGTCTGTAAATCCCCAGACAAACATAAAACTACCCAATAAGAATGTCTCTACAGCCCAAGGCTCTGGCAGTACCCCTGTGGAATCCAGTTCACTGTTGGGATGAGCTCACAGTGCCAAATTACACAACACACATGGAAATTCACTAGCATGAATATTAGTAGGGAAAAAATGATAGTCACAAGTAATGAAGCAATTCAAGAGAGACTGTAACATTTCATTCTGTTGTGTAAAACAATTATATCTGTCATCATTTGTCTACTCATAGCTTCTAAACACAGATAGCCAGTAATAACATTGGCATTTTGAGTATGTAAATAGCATGCCTCAAACAACCAAGTGGTGTGTTTGAGTACATAATAAATGAACTATAATATAATATTAACAAAAATTGAAAAACGAAGTTTGTATGCTCCTTTATTTTCTAAATGGTTTTCTCCTGCAGTCTGGATCTTGTTCGGCTTCCAGTGTTTCTTGAATGCTCTTCCATCTTTGTTCTCTAATTCATTTTGCATTGTGTTAAAATACCATGTGGAATCACTCTTATAAATGTGTCTGTTTTTTAGATGGATTTTCAAGTTGTTTCATGTAGGAATGTCTTTATTCTGCCTTCAAACTTCATTGACAATTTCAAGTCTAGCTTCAGAATCATTTCCCCTTGAATGTTGAAAAGACCCTTCTCTCTTTTAGCTTGTTTTGATGAGCCTGGTTCTCATTTCCTTGTAGATGATGTATTGTTCTCTAATGAGTTTTAGCATTTTATTTCTTATCTGAAAATTCATGTTAATTCAACTGAATACAAGTAGCTTTAAAAATTTATCTTATTCAGCATATGCAGGGCTTATGCAACTGGAAGGCTTCTGGTTTTCTTTGGGTCACAAAATATTTACTGTTTTTATAAATTATTTCTTCCCTTATGATTTATTCTAAAACTTTTATTAGTCAAGTATTAGATCTGTTTGTTAAACTGTCCTCTTTATGTGTGGTCCTTGACTTATGATGGTTCAATTTATAATAGTTTTGACTTTATGATGATGCAAAATTGATATAAATTTGAATTTAATCTTTTCCAAAATTAATGACACGTACTCTCTTAAGATATGGGACAATGGTAGTGAATGGTAGCTGCATAATCATGACAGTAAACAACAGTATTCTCCAGGGTACTGCACTGATAAATCATCATTTTTGGCAGGTGCGATGGTCTGTATCTTGAATATCACCCAAAGGACACCAGGCTGAAGACTTGATGCTTTGTCCATGGTGCTGTTGAGAGGTGGTGAACCTTTAGTAGATGAATCCTAGTGCAAGGAAGTTAGGTCCCTGGGGGTAGCACACACTTGAAAGGGATAATGGGACTCTAGGTGCTCCTTTTTTTTTTGCTTGCTGGTCAACATGAGGTAAAAAGGCCTCCCCTGCCATGTTCTGCCACCATGATGTATTATGCTATGACAGATCCAAAGTAACAGGTCCAAGCCACCATGTTCTGAAACCTCTGAAGCTGTGAGCCAACGTTAACCTTTCCTCCAACTTGACTTTCTCAGGTATTTTGTGACAGTAATAGAAACCTGGATAGTGCAGCAAGTTATGGGTTTTAAATGAATCTTCAACTTAACGATTATTTTCAAAAATGGGTCTATAACGGAGTAACTCTATTGTAAGTTGAGGAGTATCTTTTTTTAAAAAATCTTATTGACACATTCAGGGGAGAATTCCTCCATGTTGCATCTGAAATAACAGATTTATCTTCCATTTTATTTTTAATCCTAACTGACCAATAAACTATGCTTTTGATTTCTCAGTCATGTTTTTGATTTCTACTAATTATTTACTCTTATGGTGACACAGGTTAAGTGGCTTCCTCTGCCACTACGTTGATGTATGCAGTACAAAGAACCAAGACCTGGATAAAGAATAGAAACTGTAGCTCTGAGGACAAACTGAATGATACATAAATCCGAGCCAAATTAACTAACTTTTGATTTTCCATTTGCTGCAAAATGAGAGTAAATATCATTTACCACAAAAGCAGTATTGTGAGGGTTCAAGCAAAATTATGCATGCCACAATTTGACCATCAAATTTGAATCCTTTTTTCCTTCTCCAAAAATCAGAATAGTTTTGATGTCTTTATCTGCACACAAACATACTTAGTATTTCATATTCTTAGTTTACCTTGAACACATCTGAAAGAGGGCTTTATAGTTTTCAAAGCTCTCATAAACATTGTAAACAATGTAGTCTCTCCTTCACAAATACAGAAATAAAGACATAACTTTATGCTATTTTTACCTCATGTAAAGCATTCATGCTTTTGAGGTGGTAATTCCCAGGAAATAGCAGTTTGAAGTCTTAGCCACTTTTTCTAATTTTGGCTCTAAGGAAGATCTCAAAAAAGTTGAAACATATTTTCATAGCTCGTATCTCCAGCTGTGACTATTGTATAACTGATTTACTTTAAGGGAATAGTCTCCAAAAATACAATTTCAAAAGCCCTAGAACCCTATGAGAAATGAAATAGCCAAAATCAGTTGTCTAAAGCAAAAAGCACACACCTGGAACCATTTAAACTACTTCATAATTGCTAAAATGCAATCACTGGTTATTTACACGAGTATGATCCACTATGGAAGTATTTTACAGATAGAACTTATTTATCTATTTATTCACTCAGTAAATATTGAGAATGAAACATGAGCTGGGAATTGTGAAAGTCACAGAGAATGAGTAAGACAGAATCTAGTGTCTGAGGAGCTCATCCTGGGAGAGCAGGCAGTCTTTGAAACAAAGTTTGACAGTACCTTAACATCTTTGCATTTTTCTCTACATAAACACTTATTGAACTAATCAATGATTCACTGCATGAGTGGGGTAAAACAGAATGATGCTGGCAAACACTGTGATTGAAAATACAGATTTCACAGGCATAACTCTTCTGCGCATCTTCATCTGGTGCATGGCACCCCCTTCACCTAACAGCTCCTTGGAGGAATCTGGCCATCAGCTTTGACATCTCTCATTCCCTGTCTTCTACCTGCTACTCGGGCCCAACCTATCACTGAATTCTATGAGCTCTTCTTTCAACATTTGCTTAAAATTCACCAAGCTCTGTCTCCATGACCATTGTTATTTCAAATGACTAAATTACGAATCGCCTTGGTGTGATTTTTCTCATGACTTTTGGAGTAAAATCAAAGGTCCTAATGCTGCAAGGCTGCAGACTTTGACCCAGACATCTGGTCCCATATTGAATCATAACTGTCCTTGTTCCTGAGTCCTCACTGCCACTTCAGGAACACTGAACATGCTATTCCCTCTTTTCTCCACATTCCTAACCCAAATATCTCCCCTTGATAAATGTAGCAATCTAAAAAAAGTCTTTCAAGCCATTATGGTCAGACAGACCGTCCCTGACTCTGACATCTAAACTAAATCCCTGATTACCTGTTTTGTACTATGCCCTCCTTTCCCTCAAAGTACTTTTTACACTTCGTAATTGCATTTCCACTTGTCTGATTATTTGACAAATGAGTCTCTCTCTTACGCTACACAAGAAACTTTATGTAGGAGAAATATTGCTAGATTTGTAGACTCTGCATGCCCAGAGCATCCAGCTGTTACATTTTTCTAAGACCAAAATGATCTCCATTATAGATGCAGGCATGCATTGATGTTACAGTTCTAGAAGTTCATATTTCAAATGCAATTTAAATATTCTTCTCTGTTTACCAGGAAAAAAGAATGGCCATGTTGCCCAAGGAATTTTCAAAATGCTTCTAAGAGAAACATCATATTTGGTTTGACAGAATTTTTTGTACTTCAGCTTTTTTCTCCATTGAAGTTCAGTTTCTTTGGACATGAAGAGATCTTACAGACACAGACAGGACATTCCAGTGCAGTGATGAATAGCACTGTTAATTCAACTAACTTATTCATGGAGACACAAGTAAACCTTAAGGCAGAAGTATTTAGATTAGTATCACATTAGATTATTTCTGGTTTCATCATACTTAGTGAGAAATATTTAACTATTCTAAGTAGCTGGTTCCTGA